TTGATGTTGTATTGAGTTAATTTAATGTACTTTGCATTCAGACTCATAACGTTTTCAACTTGACCCTTTTTTTATGTTTCAATGCCCTCTGCAGTAATACAGAATCACAACCTTTTCATATTGAGTTTGTTGTGTTCCTCGGTTTCTTATTACAGTGGTCCTTGGATGATGTTTTTGCAGTAAATGCAAAACATGTGTAGGTGGGGTGTTAGAAGCGCTTTCACTGCGGTGCAGGGAAATATTAAAGTGTATTCTTCCGTAAGACTCGAGTAGCCACAGGCAATCTCTGCCTATCTCTGCTGCAGATTCCCTTCCGTCGTGTTCTTTGAGCATGTGGGTTATATACAGTTGTATTTTTCAGATTAGGGCTAATCCGACTGTGTTGCCCCAATCTTTGTGTATAATGAATATCTGCAGCGGGTAACCTGCTGGAGGAAAACGTATGCTTTCACAAAGCTGGAATCTGTAGAGAAGAGCGAACTCCAGCCAACATGCAACCACGCTGCCTCAGGAGAAACACCTACTCGAGTTTCAGTCCCGATGTGCCCTCTGCTTTCTCTTTGGTCGGTCAACCGAAATTGATTGCAAAACACGTCTGCAACATGTATATAGAGATGGAGAGCTTAAATGTCATAACACAGAGATCATTTCAACCTGATTTACTTGGCTTGCATGTTTTCATCTCAAAACAAACGTTTATTCCAATGGAGAATTCAAACTCGCTCATCCTAACAAGCCTGTAGGTGGACGAATTGCAGCTTATTAAACTCAAACTAGATGAGCCGCTGTGAAGAGTCAATACTCAAAAGTTCATGTGCAATTTCCGAAACACGCATGATATATTTGGCCTCCCTTTCATCAACCACGCCAGTGGCACAACATCAGACTCGGTTCCAGACTGAAATATCTTAACAGCTATTGGAAGAATTACCTTGACATTTTGTGCAGACATTTCCTTTGCCAAGAGGATGAATCTTAATGAAGTTTGGTGATCCTCTGACATTTCCTCCAGTACCAGCAGCAGTTTTACATTTGTGGCGTATCTCAACAACAAGTGGATGGATTTGCCGAGTAATTTCATTGCCAAACCATCGATATATCCGTCTGCTTCAGCTGTACTTTAAGTGTTATTTAGGGAAATAAGGCCTACTGACATGCTAAGCTAAAATGGCAAACACAAAGCCCAGTTTAACTGTTTATGAATGCAATATATCCAATCCATATGCAAATGACATCTCAGTCAATTTCACTGGAGTCCCTTGTGTATTACATCCTTAGTCTCTAGCCTTGCTTCCATGCAATTGTCAAACCAATTAATGCTATCTTTTGAAATGCAGTAAAAAAGAAATGCAAATAAGCTGTATCTCCGTGAACTGGTTAGGAGAAAATAAAATTGACTGCCGCGTTGTTTGTTCAGCAGTTGCCTCTATGGCTATCGCTCTACGTATCGCTGTGATCTGCAGCAGGCGGCTCCGCGAGAAGCGAAGCCAAAGCGCAAGAATTGCATTCTTTCTTTTTAACATAGAGGCAACTTGGTAGAGTATTTGAAAGCTTCTCACTTGAGTTATTACCTCAGTAAACACAGCGAACACCAAAATATGATCTCAATCTCTAGTTTCAAGCCTTTTGTCAATTTAGCATGAGGTTCAGTTGGCTTTTTACTTGCTGCCACTCATGCTAATTTAAAACCTTGGCTGCTGGAATCTTGTAATCAGTGCTGATTAGAATTTAATCACAGACTTTTCACCTTTGAATCTTTCCGCTGAGTATTGACCATGAATAGAATTTACTTAATTTTTGTATATGCCTGTGCCAAACAAATTGCTTTGTACAGTTAGCCTTAGTGCATAGATGGGGGAATTGTCTTCATGCTTAAAGACAGAATAAAGGAACACGCTTCATAGTAGCTTGTTTAACTGTTGGCGTGGCCCATTTTGCACATTTGATAGCTGGTAAATATAGTATATTTAGTGTTTGTAGTTTCTGTTGTCCCCAATCTTTTACATGTTGGGGATTTGGGGATCACAGGTGCAAGTCTGAGCCGTGTCCTTTGCATTCTTCTCCTGCCAATCCTGTGACCCTGGAACAAGACAGGTATTCCCTTATGGCTGAGACCGACATGACCTCCTTCTCCCCCTGGGAAAGCAACTGAGGTCTTGTCTCCGCAGACAGCTGTAGAAAGATAACTTTCCACCAGGCAGCAGCACACGCGGAAACACACAAACTAGTTGTTGTCCTCACTTCCCCTAAGTGCAGTATCCAATTCCCTCAAACCTCCAGTCTCTCACTAGTGTCTCAGTCCAAGAGAAATCACCTCCTCTCAGTGGGGGACCTCCTCTATCATTTTTCCTCATTTTCACTTTTTTTTTTAACATTTTCTCACTGTACTTGGTGTTCCTTTTTCAGTCGAGGACAGCACCTCCCCTCTATTTCCCCTCAGCGATAGAGCTTTAAGAATTCACTTTGTAGACTCGGCTGTGCACGCACACACACACACACACCGCAGGTTCGTCCCGACATCAGCAAGTTTCACGATAGACTACAAAAAAGATCCTGCAGCTGTCAGCGGGAGAGACCCTCAAAGCTGCAAAGCCTCGAGATCTCAGGAAGGACGTAAGATCGGCTTGGTGCTACGGGAGCCGCTGCATCAACCTGTTAAGTTGGCCGAGACAGCGAGAGGTGAAGTGAGGGCAAACAGGAGAAAGCAACACTAATGGGAGGCCGATGTGGGTGATGGAGGAAATAAGGGAGAGGATGGATTTTTCCAGGTGGATATTAATCATGAATATAAAGTGTTTTTGTCTTCTGAACAGAAACGCACTGAGCATGCAGTGCCAAAAAATAATTAATTGTTGAGTATTTTCGTTGCTGTGCATGATCAGGGGAATTTAATACGGTTGGCGAGTGTTTACTGCTCCATGACTCCAGATATATGATTTCATCGATCCTTTGGCAGAACAGGCAGTTTCTTTTTGTTCCCATTTTGAGAGTAGAGTAGAATGACATTGAGTCAAGTAAGAAGGGATAATTGTATTGCTGCTTTCTATCTTTTTTTATTAGCATTAGCTGTATATTTGAAAAATCTGTGTTCAGAATAATGTAGTGAACAATGATTAGCTGTAAGAGCCACTGTGAAGCATGGTGAATCCAAAATTGAATAGAAAAGAACTCCCTGTGACCTTTTTTAGTTTTCTAGAGTTTCTTTTAACTGTTTGCCCATTGAGTCCTTGATGGAAGCTGAACAATTGTCCGTCAGATATAAAACAATGGTGCATCTGTCCATGGAAGATGTCTTTCCTAGATTACAGAATTATCTTCTACCAGCAACATCAAACAGGTGTGGGCTTTATTCCTGTGAATGCCTGTTAGTTTAGTATTTTAACCAGTGTCAGCAAGTCTGATGTGTTTGTATGTGCTGAGTTAAAATGAATGCTGTGAAAAATTGCGGGGTAGAGGAATATTAAATATGACTGAAAGACGGAACCGAGCTATGAAGTGTGTGTGAGCGCTTAACACACGGATATATACAGAACTGTAAAATTGATTTAATTGTGCTTGCGTGGTCAGATTTGCCAGATTCCGCTCGACAATGCAATTGTTCCCCAAACAATGAAAGGTTGTTTAAAGACTTGGGACTGAATACCAGAGTCAAGGTCGGTTCAGGCTGAAGACTATAGGATGGAAAATAATAGATAAAGATGGGATCCTACCACTGTCCTGCTATCCTATTTTCTGCCTAATACACACAAGTCAGCGCTTGACTTGCATTGTGAGTAATCGTACAGGATGAAATGAAGGATACAATATGCAAGTTGACTAGTGGGTGGGGGCATACTACCACAAGGCGGTAACTTTAGTTTTTTAGTCTGACAATGGTGAAGGAGTGTAGTGCTAAATCAATGAAGTACTCTTTCTGCTTGTGTTTTGTCCCCTTAATATAAAATAAAGAGTAATAAAGTATTTTACAGGGTTGACTTTCCACGGAGCGACTCAATTTCAATGTACAAATTCCCCAGAAAGACTTCTCATTGGATATAATAAGTTAGATAATAACATGATCAAACGATGATACCTGTGAACAGTGTTGGAATCTGCTTTGAGCAGAGGGTCAGAAATATGAGAGCAGCACTACCGGCTTGAAATGTTGAACATTTGCTTTAGATATTACCAGTGGCTGCTGGTGGAATTTTCAAAGTAGGGTTATCCAATCAATTTCAGCAAACATCACAGAATGAGGTAATGCAAAACCGTAAAGGCACAAAAAACGCAGTACTAGTTGTATTTGTAGTGGAATATTCAACATTAATTGCAACATAAAAAATATTTGTAAATAAAAGTTTAACTAGACATTAACTATCTTATTTGTGTTACATTGTTTATTTACTGTATTATGTACTGATAGAAAAATGGTTGACCCCCTAGTAAGACCAAGTGTCTCATGCGCTGAACGTTCATGTCTGCAGCTCATATCAAAAGACGGCAGACAGGGCTTGTTATAAGTCTTCTATACTGCAACACAGCCTATTGCATGCACACGTTTCAGGCTATTTGTATCAAATATATGCCCATTTTAGAGCTGTGGCATTGGCCGCAGCTCTTAAATGGCCACATTTTGATTCCCCAATTATTTCTAGTTAATTACCCGAGCAGTTGCATTCAGACCAAGGAGAAGGGAAGGTCACCGGGCATCAGAGCATGGCTATGGGGAGCAGACATCCCACATGGCACCCAATTATTCAGATTGCCGCCGCATCACCAGAAAGATTAATGCCATCATGAATCCTCCTCAAGCTTGTATTAAAGTTTTTATCCTTACGTAGACCATTAGGGGACTCAGCTTATTAACTTTCAGTACGCTATGACATTTTGACCTTAACTTTGTTTGAAAGGCCAGTTCTCTGTCTGTCGGCGTCCCTCCTGACTGAAAGAATAGATGATCAGAAATGACTCTGTTTTGACTCTGTTCTGGTCCCTGTCCTGCTCTCTGTCTCCGTCACCAGTCTGCTCCCAGTTCTCCCGAGGAGTCTACGCCATCCTCGGCTTCTACGACAGGAAGTCCATGAATACGTTGACCTCCTTCTGCGGGGCGCTGCACACCTCCTTCATTACTCCCAGCTTCCCCATTGACGCTGATGTGCAGTTTGTCATCCAGATGAGGCCCGGTTTGCGAGGAGCTGTTCTCAGTCTTCTGGACCATTACAAGTGGGAGAAGTTTGTCTACCTTTACGACACTGACAGAGGTAAGAGTGCCCCTCTCGGAAAGTAACACACACACACACACACACAGCTGTGGAAACACCATAAGCTTTCGGTTGGAGGCAGAGGAGCAGCGCAAAACATCTCGTTGCTAGTTAAAGACGAGTAAAAAAGTAATTGGCACGCCAAGCGCCGCTCATGCAGAGGGGTTATTATACAGTCTTTAATATGTAGATCCCTCATCCCCAATCTTCATCCTAAATGCTCTGATACATTTTAATCTATGCCGGTAATGATCCCAAATTACCTCTCACTGTCACTGATTCCTGCTGCAGTCAATAGCTCCTCGCTTCGAAGGGAATGAGTCATTCACAGGTGCCGCTGATCCGCCGCCGTAGTACAACTCTAGCCGCCTGAGCCTCTAATCCTCTCTTTCATCATCAAGCTCTAATTGGTTTATATAAAGACAGAACACAACATACTGTAACTTCTGCATTTGCTTCATGGCGTTTCAGGTCCACTCATGTAGGCCAACTATTTACAGACTATTTTCTTTGTGGTCCTCTCGAGGGTCGGTATCTGTAGAGAGTATATTAAGAAGGAGAACAACCAAGCCGGCCATAGACTGTTTTTAGCAGCAAGGACATGAGTAAAGTGCTTTCATTTTTTTTATTTTTTTTTATTTAACCCTTCAAAACATCCAAGTATTATTAAACGAACATGGAGCATTTCTAGAACGAATACACTGACTTGTATTGTCAGTGTGACTTGACATGTATCTCCAGTTCAAGTCAGGCTCATTGTCACAGAGTTACTTCTGCAGGTTTTGTGAAGTACGAATTGATATATGTATTGGACAAAATAATCGCATATAACAAATCAAAGCAAGGGCAACACTCTCATAATCATGATGTAGATATTTGGGGCCCTGTCTGACCGTGTTAACAAAATCGCCTGTTGGTGCTCTGGATGTGGGAGAGGACCTCGGCGCCATTGGCCCACCGTTGTGTCTGGTTTTTTGTTGGTTTTATGGGGATTGTAGAAGCTGATTATTGGTTGGCTGCTCTGGTGGAGATAAAATTATTAAGCCGCTCACAGCCTCTCTTGCGCACAATCCCTTACTAACTTTTTGGTGGCTGACCGGCCACCAACTGTAATACTGTCCCCATTTCTACTTTCTAGTTTACGACTCTGACTTAGTGTAAACACTGTAGTTTAGGATGGATTCCCAAATGCTGCACAGCTTGTGTTTGCTGAAAGGCTAGTTTGGCTGCCAGTCCCAGCCCGCTCCTCCCCGTCAAGGCCTGGGGGCAATATAGGCAACGCTCATTCAAATATCAGTTTAGTCTCATTTTAGGAGGAGGGCTCTACATAAGGTCGGGGAGCAAGTTGAAGGGGCTCTTGATTGACGCTTTCTTGAGTGACTCTTAGTAGTAGTAGTTTGTGGAACAGTGTCCAATGCCCCATAACAAGACACTGATCAGAGAGTCAGTTTGAAGTTCATCACAATGCAACGGTTAATCCTCTGCTCTCACTCTTTGGGAAGTGGACTCTTCCCTTCCATGATTTACCATATGAGGGATGTCTTTTGTAAAGCCTGAAGGCACAGCTAACATCAAACATGTGTCTGTAAGATAGAAATCTGACTGTTATCGAAACACAATTTACCCAGATACACCACCTATGTGACCCGTGCATAGGCCGTCAAATATTACTGTTGTTTTTAATGTGTATCTGAACTTCAAAATAGCATCATCAAATTCAGCTTGATTTTTACGTCGGGGCTGCCGCCCTCTGACAGCAGTGTTGTTGTGACGCCGTTTGTAATGGTGATCAAATGACAGGAAAAGTTATGTTTCTCGCAGCTGCTTCATACAGATTGGGAGTCTGTTTCTGTTTCGTGCAGCTTGTGTCCAGTGCACAACAAAGACTTAACACCTTCACAAACCGGCGTTAATGACGTGTTCATCTGCCGCAGTGCATCCTCACCTATTTATCCTGGATGTACAGGCCATGAAACGTCCTCATTAAACAGACTAATGGCCGCTGGCAGAAAAGGCCTCCTGAATCAAGGAACATCTGGACATTACCAGCTGGCCACTGAAAGTAGGTCCACATCTGTTTTTTCTCTTATTAACATAGTTCACTAGAATATTGTATATACTGCTTAAATACTTGCATTTGTATTTGTATTTGTTTGATCCAACACAAAACAGGATTTTTGCCATTACAACTTGGTGTGGTATTAGCATTACAGTGGCTTATAGTGGTTGTGTTAACTTTGGAAGCTAGTTTCTTTAGCATTTACAATTACCCATGAAGCCAAATAGCCGCCCTTTAATCTATAACAAGGTGATGACCCATGCTGTAAAAGCTTATCATTATAATTTGTGAGTGAAATCTTAATTTGTCAAATAATTGACGACGGACGGAATTAGCGACGGACTAAAATAAAGCCCAAGTACCTTCAAATTGTATTCAACCACTTTAGTAAATCTCTTCCAGATTCATAAAATCTAACGACTAAAATCCAACAACCTTAACTGGCCCCTTTTCTGCATTTTCCTTCTGAAAAATGGGGAAGGTGGAACATTTGGATCCAATAAGTAATAAAGCTGAATGTCTGCTTGGTTTCATCTCCGCGAGGAAACGTCTGATTAATTGCTCACTGCTGAAGAGCTGCACTCAGCAGTCAGGCACACAGGCTCATTAACAGAGAAGGGGGGGGGGGGGGGCAGAGAGAGAGAAAGAGAGCGAGACACAGAGAGCGAGAGAGACCATATGGCACAATCTCCACTCTGTCAACACCTTACTGCACCTTCCCTTTAAAGATGGACATATATATCAATAGGCCTCAACCTCCTCCTCTGCAGGTGAATGCTGTTTTCCTCCCAGGCCCTAATATTGAGATTCATTAATCAATCTCTTTTGCTTTGAAAGAGCGGTTATCGTCCCTGTTCAAGGACTTATGTCTTATGCCTCGTAGAGAACACAGAGAGAACAAAGGCAGAAGTAACTTGGATACACATGTAACAGAATAACTAACCAGTGGCTGAGAGGTACCTTTTTGTAAGATGTGTTTCAAAGGATTCTGAAAGGCACACTACAGATATGCAGATGAGAAAGCACTAGGCTGACACTTAAACATAAAAAAAGAACTCCAAGGTTAGAAAGAACTGTGTCAAATTGAATAAACTTTCAAAAGAGAAAAGTGCCTTTTCTGTTGTTTTCTTAAGGAGAGCATGTTAATTGGCTCCATGTTTTTGAGAATCCTCTCTGACTCGGTGGTGAATGAATTTAAAATTATCTGTGGGAATCAGATTGCCTTCAATTTACATCTGGGAATGGAGTGTGTTTGGAAAGATGCTGCGTGAGAGTGTGTGTGGTTACGTCACTGGTGGAAACTTCAAAGCGCTGTGTGCATTCAGTGAGAAGATGCAGCTCAGGCGGTTGCTGTGGTGTTTCTGCATGAACCAAACCTCTCCTGTTATCAAGCGCTCGCTGCGCTCTGCCAGACGCCCAAAATGGCACCAATTGATCCACGCTCATCCACGCATGAAGAGGCAGTGCGGCTTGGAAACAACATCAAATAACACGTAAACTGCAGACTTTCTCTTCCACCCTGTAGTGTGAAGGCAGCTGTATCTACACGTTCATGTATACCATTTATGAATAAATAATAGAAACAAAAATGTTCCGCGAGAATATTTAAAATGTTTTGTAAGTTACAGACTCTAGATTAAAAATAGCTCAGTCCCTTGTTGTGGACATTCAGGCTTTAAAACACTGAGACACATTTTCTCCATTGAACAGATTGGCTGACAGGATTCCATTGCAGAAACCTCTCTTGGGCTACTGTAGCTACAGCAACCTTGAGAAGGACATTACTTGCAAACAGTAGCATCACTTTTTAGAAATGTGTTCTTTGCTTGAATCTTGGCCTCATTACAGATGGTACAGTATCTACTCTGGAATACACATGAACAATGCCAATACTGCACCAATCTAGAATGCATACATAGCCAAAAACTGGAAAGTGGACAGAAAATGTAGATGTCGATAATATTGTACAGTCACAAAACTTCCTGGTATAGCTTAAAGCATATTCCAGTTTAAATAAAATGACTCCTGTGAGATCATTGTTTCAGGCCCTTGGACAGTTCAGACTGTTCCCTCATAACCTTCTATGCCTTCAGTTGTTTCTCATCTAATTGTCAAACATCCTCCAGGTATTCTTAGTATGTGTGTGTATGGCGGGCTAATTAACCAATAAACTTGAATACACAAGTGGAGAAACATAAGAAATGCAGATGCTTCTGTGCAGGAGAGAGTGACACTGACTACGCGGTTTGAGTGTGAGAATGTGGTCTGCGTGCTGTTGCCTGTGAAACAGCTCTCTCCATTGCCATCATTAAAACACCCACAAGGGAATATATTTGGCAGAGTGGTGTTCATCTCTGGATATCAAATGAATATCCATTGAAAATTGGTTGGAAGATTGTTCATCCAAACGCAACCAGACAAATGGCTCCGGGCTTAAAGTTGGTGGAAAAAACTCAACGCTGTTTGAGGGAGCTTGAGAAAAATCTGAGCAGCAACAAGGATTTGGCCTCCAGAGTTAATCCTTTCTATCGTTCATCACAGCAAATAATTACATGGGAAAGGCTGCGTGTGTTTAGTTTTTTGGCTAAAGCAGAGAATCAACCTGGCAAACAAAAGTACCATATCAAAAAATATGAAATGTTAATAGCTCCTGCTACCTCTGTATATGTTGTATAAATGCTGAACAAGTGTTATTATCTCACTGACTGGATCCAAGTTTTAATCTGTCATCTTAACATCGTGGCCCAAAGATTCCTTTTCCTGATAACCTCGATGTACCGTGTAGGATGAAGGTGAGGTGTAGCTCAGTATCAATGCTGGGTTTGCATAAAGTATTTTTCGGTGCCATTTGATATGAGCACTATTGATTTGAGTCACAGAGATCTTCTTCCCTCAGACAGAGAGGAAATGAGAGGCGGAAAAACCACTTTTCAAAGGAGGA